AGGAGCTCAGAGGAGGGGGCAAAGGAGGTGAGGGGGTGGGGGCAGAAAGTGGAAATGAAAGCAGACAACAGAACATTGTTAGAGATCAGGAAAGGATGTGAAAGGAGACAATTTTAGAGAAGAAAATTTTTTGGTCGCTACCCGGAATCGAACCCGGGACCTTTGATTACTTTGAATGAGAGGCCAACACCTTAACCTCTAGGCCACGAGGGCCCCCATACGCGTTTACTGATCGTGCTACTTTTGTATACTACCCCCACACTCTTGTAAGTCAGGAATAAACCTGTTTTGTCAACTTTCCGTAATGTTGTTGCTTTTTTCGGTAACAAAATTAATTAAATTAGTATTTCTGACATTTTTAAAAATATGGGCTCATTGTGACACTTACTATTATCATTTTAACACAGTGTATAATTAAAAATGTGACAGAGTATATTATATAATGTGTTTATATATATTTATATAAAATATAAGGCAACACTTCGTTCTCGGAGTCTGTACACGTTTGTATCAAATGAAGAAAGATTAATAGAAATTCTTTCTGAAGTTTATTCTTTTTCCAACAAATTTAATGTGGACCACTTTCATCACATACTTCAAATGATTTCGAAACCCCCATACCTTCTTTCGGAGTATCCCCTCTAAACAAATTTGCACAAAATCACAAATGAAAACTCGATTTAAAAAATCTCTTCCTCTTATGTATGATAAAGACAAAAATACGTTTTCACATGGATCTTATAACATTTTAAATGTGTGGATTTTTTTTTTTTTAAGAAACTGTAATGTTTGTTTTATGTGCAGTGTCATGAGGGATCGTAGGAGTACCGTCGTGTTGGAAGACTGAGAGGTTCTGATTGTTTTTTCTTGTGCCGTTGTGCACAGTGAATAATACGGCACTGTTGCGGACTCGATAATAGAGGTTCTAAATAATTTAAGGCGTTTTTGTTTTAAGTCCTGGGTAACTACTCGGCGCCTCTCATTGATGAAACAAACATTTGCACGCACTCCTGCATGCCTTTAAGCCCCGCTTACACGCAACGATAAACTGTATCAGATTCCTCGTATGAGAGAGCTGTCCGTTTTTATCGAACTGTGTTGTCTGGTTACACGTTTCAATCTATCGTCCAGTTTTCTTTCGAAGGAGGAGATTCTTCATCATAAAGCTAACATGCGTCTTTGCGACGACAGCGATTTGCCTGCACTCAAAGTGGAGGTTTCGAGCCCTGGACCTAATGAATGAAAGGCGAACTCTAGATCACGAAGGAGCCCCCCCCCCCCCCCCCCCCCACCTACTTTTTTATACAGTATAGCAGAACAGTGTCTTTAGAAAAGGGTCACAATACTGGACATGTACCGTGTTGAGTGTAAAAGTAGAAGCTTTGACTTGACTACAGACTGCAGATGTGCAACGCACCGAGTGACCTTGATGCACAGCTTCACCATTGACGATCAACTAACTAATAAAATTGCTAAAATATTTAAAATAACGCACCATATCAGGTTCTACGCGAGCAACTTTACTTGCTTTGAGACGCTGATTCCGAATATGAAATCAATTTTTACCTACGATAATTATTTTTGAAATTTTGAGCCCGAGTTTTATTCTGCGCGACTGCAAATTTCAAAGTGAATCTGCGTCACAGCGCGTCTCCCTCAAATCTGACCGTGGTCGTACGGAAAATATCAAGCTGAACTTGATTTCTCGACTGAGTCTCCAAAACATCGTCCAAACATCCAAATTTTGTACAATTTTGTGGTTACACCTAACGATTTATAGTATGATCGCTAGATCGTCCAATTTTTGTAATTGTAATCTACAATTTATCGTTACGTGTACCGGGCCTTAAGCCGTTACTTTGTTCGGCAAGAAGGAAACGATTCTGCTGGTGTGACAGCGTAACCTGTCTGTCTTGACCAGGGCTGGTTACTCGAGGCTGTCCTTTTTTTGGTATATCTTGCACAAGGCCTAATAGCAATTATGTGCTAAAACCTTTAATAAGTTGAGAAACAATACACGAACTGCATTTTATCCGTCTTCGGGTTGAAGTGAGGAAAATTCGTGTAAAGTGCCTTTTCCCAAGGACACAACGTCGGGCCTGCAGCTCGAACCCCCGAACCCGCAACCTCACGATTACGAGTCCGGTAGCCCAACCATATACATGTAGGCCTATAGGTTTTCCGCCCATTGAACAAAGTGGAGGCAAAATTTGGGGTCAGCTTCGCTAAGTTGATCCATCTTACAGTCGAACCTGCCGTGACAGCCATGCATAATAAGGCCACCTGTACAAACGGACACTTTCCATTCCCCCCTTGCGTTTTTTAAATGCGTAAAACGGGCACTTGTCCAACGTGGCCGCGGCCACCCTATTTTATCTACCCACGGTCAAATTTACCTGCCTCAGACGGCCAGGTGCTGTCCCTCTTTG